CCAGAGCAGCACCCCTCGCTGCCCGTGGCCACACGGCCGGGTGGCCCAACTAGAAGCGGGGCCCCTGTGTCGTCAGGCCCGAGCCGCCCAGTGGTTCAGAGGTCGTGAGACGGGCCGCTCGGAAGGGCAGTTTCCAGACGAGCCCGGCTGCGGCCGTGCAGGAGGCTCTGGGTGGGGGTCCTGCCACCCGCAAGGCCAGGCGGCCTCTTACATGAGCCCCTGAGCAGGGCCGGGTCACATGGGCTGCTTCCTGCGGGCCCAGGACCGTGTTTGTCTCCTGCCCGGTGAGCTGTGACCCGGCTGCTTCCAGAGAAGCCCGGCACCCACTCAGGGCTGGGGCTCGGCCAAGGGGAGAGCCCCCGTTTCCAGCCCACCCTCAGCCTGTCCTGCAGCCACGGCGGGAGCCCAGGCCTCCCACCCTGCCACGCCGCCGCCCAGCTGGGCCGCAGCCCACCCACGCCCGGCCCCTTCTGCTCTCCACTGCCACCACCAGGGGCAGCAGAGGCCATGGAGCTCCCAGAGGTCACGGCCGCTCCCGCCCCACCCCAGGCCCTCAGACCTGGCCCCCAGGCCTTCCTCCGGGAAGCCCTGCGGGAGCGCCCGCGCAGGCCGGGGCCCTGGCCGGCGCGGGCGCCCCCTCAGGTGGGCCGCTCTGGCTGCACCCAGGTGGTGGTGAACGCACTGCTGGGCGCCATCCCGTCCATCATGAACGTGCTGCTGGTCTGCTTGATCTTCTGGCTCATCTTCAGCATCATGGGCGTCAACCTGTTTGCCGGCAAGTTCTACTTCTGCCTGAACACCACCTCGGCCGAGCGCTTCCCGGTGTCCGAGGTCAACAACAGGTCGCAGTGCGAGAGCCTCATGCACACGGGGCAGGTGCGCTGGCTCAACGTCAAGGTCAACTACGACAACGTGGGCCTGGGCTACCTCTCCCTCCTGCAGGTGGTGAGTGGCCCCGCCTGCCTGCGTCTGTGCGTGCGGCAGGGCCCCGGGCCGCGCCTGGGCTTCTCAGGCCTCCACAGAACCCGGGAGGACCCGGCGGGGCGGCGGGGGGAGCCTCGCAGACCGGGGAGCGCAGCCCCTCACCCCGCCTCGCCCTCCCAGGCCACCTTCAAGGGCTGGATGGACATCATGTACGCGGCCGTGGACTCCCGGGAGGTGAGTGGGGAGGCTCGCCCC